TCCGCTGTTCCAAATAGACTTTTGTACCCATTTCATAATATGTAATAACTAGTTAATCAAACGTACAAGAAACGCCCTCAATATCCCGCTGGAAAGAGTTTTTTGTCGCTTTTTACTAACAGTATTTGCAGAAAAACCAGACTGAGCTTCGCAAGCGAAACGAAACGCGAAATAATCAATGTATGCGAGAGCATGTTTACGATAGATAGTTGTCTGGAATATTTGTTTGTTTATTATGTGCGTGAAATTGTTTCTCGTTCGTTCAAAAAACTTATCTTTGAAGTAATGACAAACTCTTTCGTGTATTTCTAAGCTTTGAAATACTTACACAAATAAAATTCACTTAGTAGTAAAACGAAAAATTTACAAAAACAATATGTTGACGTCACCGTGGTTACGAACACTCGGCTCAAGCATGGATCATAGATATTATATAATATTTCACACAACATAAACATAAACGTAGAATAGCCCGAAAATAACTATTATTGTCATATTATGACCAAGGATGGCGGAGTGTGAATATATGAGATATCCGGAAACAAAGAGTATACAGGTGCGCACCGTCACCCAGTTACTTGTATCTGACCCTCCTGTAATAAATGTTTCACACTCCTGGTTCAAATCGATCCGGTATTAAATTACTGCGCTAATTATTTATGTTGGGCTTTTGTTCCGCGAGGAGAATAACGAGTGAAACATTTAATTGGCAAGTTCAATAAACATTTGTTGCTCTCGTGTCTCATTCTATAATTTTGTGGTGTTGCCCAAAATCAAAGAGAACGCAACACCAAGTTCAAACAAATTAAAAGGCACTCATTTAACCCTTAAATGTTTTTCCTGTTTCACTTCTTTCATCCTTTATTTCATTTTCTAATTTGTAATGGATAAATCTGTAAATTTTAATATTTTGTCTCAGGTCAGTGAGGTCATTTCATTCGTTGTTTCTCTGATTACCCGTGGTTTAATAACAATCCGCATCTGCTCGTTGATTTCCCGTTCTTAGACAAAGCAGATTACGCAATATATTAGACATTAACCCGAGCCCGGAAGTATCTATTCATTTAAACACACTTGTCATATATCCACTTTATACATAACACAATTGAAGCTAAAAGTGCCGGCGGCGGCGTGCAGTTGCCCAAGGAAAGGTAGAATGAACAAACATGTACAATAACTCATACGGGGAAACGCCAAAAAATTTAGATAAAGCTTCAAATTCCTTCATGCTTTACTATTCATCCCACATTTCACCGAACATAACTCTGATACTGCGTTCAATAAACAGTGTCCGCACTCCGTACTCTCTGGTCTGAGTGTCAATAATGTTATGAGTGTTATAAACGTTGCGTTTAGCTAGAAAGATTATATGATCCCCATATTGGAGTTGAACTCTGTGGCGATGGCGTAGGCACCTTGGCATGGAAAGGAACTCACATAACTCCCTTTATACCTAATACTATTTTATAGAATGATTTTCTACGGCGCTCTATTTTCAAAATCAATATCAAAATTATACTCGTCAAAGTTTAAAATTTGGGTTATTGAAAAAAAAAAAATTTGTCGATGCAGGCTATAATACACAAAGCGCATTCACCATATCCATTATTTGTGATGTCTGTATCAGGTTGATATGATATAAATGACGACATGTTTTTGCCTAAGTCAGTTTAAGCCTGCGAAACACGCTCGAGTCGGAACGGAAATTCTGAAACACCTTGCTGATGAGGAAGAGTGACATACTAGTGAAAATAGCAGAGTCGCTTGAAGGTCGTGTACAAATGATCTATACCAATGCTGCCAATGATAAATAGATTGATTATTATTGGTTGGAATATAAAAAAACAACTATTGTAAATTACATCAAAGAACCATTTTGGAACGAAACAGCAAACTATTTAGTATACCACACCATTCAAATTGATTAACTGAAGTGAATTATTTGTAAACTGAATTTTTACACGATGGAAGAGGCCAGTTAATTTCTGCCAAATCTGTTACAATAAAATCCAATTAATGTATCCGATAACAAGCATAATCTGAAAGGTTTACTGACAATTCATATGAAGTCGAATGAAAAGTTGTGCTGGGTATAAACACGCTTCCAGATAAATTATTTCAAAAAAGTTGGTAGATTATGCCAATCTCCAACAACCATTCCGCAGCAAAACACTCTCAATCAAAAACAAAACAACAAAAACCTAATTCGGCATGAAAATGGTTGATATAGTTTCAAGTTTTTCAATGTCAAAGTTGTATGAACATACAGACTGATAGTGATATGAGATAATGGGCCAACTTATATCGGATTTTCACCAGATGAATTTTCCCATTTTATTCTTCATAAGTTTTGGTTAATCCATATATGGATCATGTGAATTGCAGTAACATTATTTGCAGAACAGAAGGCCAACTCTTGATATTCTTATCGGCTGTATTATTTCTAGACTAATTGAGAAACAGTACTTCTTTACAAACAGTTTCTTCCGGTACTGTTAATACCGCATCCGCTTTAGATTTTGAATACATTACGGATAACCTCAACTCGTCAGAGAAAGAGGGATACATTATTTGGACAAAACCTTAATAATTTTCATGTGGAATTCTTTCATCTTCGTACTTCTCTAAAATCAACTACATAAAAATCGTCATGACAACGAATCGTTGTGATTCAAAATTCAATGCTGTTAGGATGAATGGGAAATTGAAAATTTTCCGCTCCATCAATATCAGCTCTTTCATCAATAGTCTCAAACAAAGGTGGTATGAACATACATGGCCGACCTATTCTCGACTGATATCGACTAAAATCTTCGTAATACCTTACTACATATAAATTTGAAGGAAAACTCCTGCGAATGCCAGAACCAAAATCGGATGAACGTTTGATGGCGAGTCCTATTACACTTCACCCTCTCGTGCTCCTCATTCCGTAGAATAATTACTTTTCGAAATATTTAATTTCGAAATCTACCAATTAAGCAGTGTATTGGAACAAAATATAAATAACAAAAAACAAACTTCTCTATATTTTTTCTTCGAGAAGGGTTGTAAGCTGATGATGCGTTAACCCCGTTTTTTAATGAAATTCACAAATCTACCACAATTTTTATAAAACATGTGCGATGAGATTCCTACTTCATTCTACAATGCTAATATATCTGACGCAGTACTATCCACTACCCTTTTTCAAAGAAAACCGACCAGAATATTTTTCAATCATTCAGTATAGTCACCTGTTACCTGAGATCGTTTCATACAATCGTTTTTGAATATAGTTTCTCATAACACTTCTCATACTTGATTGATCGCTAATATCACCGCCAATTTTGATTTCGCCTACATTCTGGCTTTATGAGCGAGAAAGAAAAATTAACACTAAAATAGTCATTCTGATGCCACGGCTATTTTTACTAGTATAATTTTTACACAGCAGAGTAGACGAGAATTTTCGTATGTTGGAGAAGCTGCAGTTTAAATGAAACTAAATTAATTGTGGAAAACATTCGTTGATGACGGCCCTAATTTTCGAAACGAAAACAAGCTCTGCTCGAATAGGCGTTTAAAATTTTTAAAGCACACTGTAGTGTCAGTGTCAAGATCAAATCGGCACGCTTGCCATCCACGAATTAAAGAATTGACGAAACAAAGGCAAACGGCGGAAATAAATGCTTGATTGACTCGCGTGAATTTTGGAATCGCGCTATTACGATGCCAGATAAATTTGATTATTCCCAAATGTTAAAACAAGCATACATTGGACGAGGTACAGAAAATCAATCTGGTCAAATTAGTAATATTTCATATATTTTGCAGATTGGAACATTATATATATTTATATATAAGATTATTATTCTTTTAGGGTAAGTATACCTCGCTTTTTGTTATTTTTTGGATAAGATGACAAAAGTTTTATCATTTTAAAGTAGATTACGCATAAAACGACCAGTTTCATAATTCTATGCATTTCCTAACATTCCCGAATTTATGAGCTATTTCTGATAATATGACCTATGCTATTGAATTTAACTAAAAAATATTCATTACAAATGGTTCGAAAAGGCTAAAAAATGAGGAACATCAAAATACAAATTGGCGATCGATACTAACGATAGTGAATCGGCGACCCTTGCGGCGACTACAATTCGTTGCTGAATAGCAACCTCTGGTGGCAGATGTTTGACAGAAAAACATGTTTCAACTACTTGGTATTTAGAGACGGAATAAGCCGCGAGTAAGATCTTTTTTTTTAATTATTTGTTTGCCCTATAGAGCCCGATATTTAAGTTTTATCTTAATTGTCACCCTTGTCCGTCAATCTATTCGGCAAAGTCGGTGCCCTGCTCATCGGTCTCAACTTCATGCTACTATCAATGATGAGAAAATTTATTTCGAACTCCGCCATTGTACAAAAAATGACAATTCAGGAGGGACAGAAAATCAGAAAAGCTGTTAAAACTTCGAACGGGGTCAAAACACATATCTTATGTATTATATATCATATTAAATGTACCACATAGGCAATCTCAGTAGGCTACGTGATACAGTATGTAAACAAACAAAACACAATTAGTTACTCTTTAATCGCTTTTTAAAATTGTAGGAACTGAGATAATAGGTAATCGGACTTTGAACTCATGAACATTTTGACAATATGTGAATACAAACCCAAAAAAATACACACCGAGATGCTGTCGATGCGTGACTTTCGTGTTCATTTATTTTAGCATTGCTTCCTTTATAAAATTTTAATTCACACACGTTATTATTCAATATAATAAGACAAAGTCAGTCAGATCTAGTATGGAAATGTACTTGATAGCTGAAATAGATTTTTAACTAGAGTTTAGTGATTTAACAGTAATGAACGTACTGTTTTAGATCCCTTAAAACAGAAAAATGCCGGCTGGTGCCTAGACAAGATAACACACAGAAAGAATAAATACGGGAATCAATGTAATGCACTGTAAAACTAGGAGAGCGAACTGTGAAAATTTTACCTTTCATGTTATTCCATTCAGTTGCGTCTGTTGGATTGCTGATGAGAAACCAAAAATCTATAATAATATAATAAAATGTAGTTAGGGGTCAGTTGGCATATTCATGCAGCTAAATGAAGATAAATATATATAAACAGGCAAGACATCAATTCTGATATAAGAATCGCACGATAACTCAATTTACAGTTTATCAATTTGAAAAGCAATTTGCCAACTACTTTCGCCGATTATTGCAAATTTGCAACTATCCGATTTTATTCCACTCACCATTGCCAACTAACGGCTCAAAACATCCACAAATTCTTCTTCATGCGAACGACGCCCAATAAAACTATGTCTGGTTTGGGAGTAGTTGAATATTTTCTGACACTTTTGTCACAGACAGTTATCTGTGTACTACTTGCATTTATCATTGCCAACAACATGTATAAGTATCCGGATATCGCACAAACACGCACAATGCATAGATAAAACCTCAATATGCTTTTGCAGGGGTCGGAGCGAAGGCCGTATAGAGGGTTGTATAACAAAAAACTTCGAAAGAACCTCTGTTGGGAGTATGGTCTTATTATATCTACTTTGAAACACATTTATTATTAGATTTTGTGCTTTGTTATCTAATTGATAATAATACTTGAGTCAAAGCAAATTTTTATTATGCTTATTTGTTTAAAACACTAAAAGTGTTTATTTTCATTGTGACGGAACTACGGACTGACCTTGATTATTCTACTTGCGTTTATTTTTCTATATTGACTTTTAGTGCTATATACAGGGTGCTCCATAATGTATGAAACCCACAAAATTGGTAATCGAATTATTGGGTTTCATTTATTTTGTGACACCCTATATCAGAACCTACGATTGAAAATAATAAAAATACCTCATTTCCACGTATTCTGTAATATCATATTCAGATTTCAGCTACGTCCGAAAGATTCATATTTTGATATTTTATATCCATATCTGCAGGAAGAAGTCTGACAATTACCATATATTAAATTACATGAATATATTTATACTAGTCTAACATAGAAACAAAGATAGAACCAAACACTTGTTAATAACGTAATTTCGTGTAACCTAGAGTGAATACAGGCTTTCAATAGTCAATATAGCAGTCAATATGCTAATTTGCTGTTGCAATTCCATGAAACGAGTCATAACGTCAAGACATAAATGTATTCACCAAAAGGAAGTGACTCAAGTCGAAGAAAGTGATTCAATGTCGACATTATAGTTTACCATGTTTTTAAAGACATATGTTATATTACACAGAATATTACATATATTACAGAAATCAAATAGAGCCTAAAAGGTGTCAACCTAATACAACATAGAACCCATGCAAACCGTATAGAAGAAAAAAAAGGGTTAAGCACGAATTTTATTTGTGATCTCATCTGACCCTCAAATTTACGTCTTTTCTGGCGACAACCCTGTATACTGGGTCATAACCTTTTGTTCTGTTCGTAGTTGAACCATCCTGTCTATATTGCATTTCACATAACTGAATGGTTTTATAGCAGTGATATCGCTTAAATAGTGATACTATATTGAAAAATGCAATTCTACAAAGCTAGTTGTTAAATTTATGAAACAGCAAATCGTATTACACGCATTCATCAACATATTTATTTAAATTTGTCGAAAAAAATCCAAAATATTTTACTAATACAAGAACGTATTCGACATATGATCAATTTCCATCAACCCATCTAATATAAACATAACAACAGGTATTCAATTAAATAACATAGGCCATCAGTAGTAAGTAATCAACTCCATCTTTCCATCTTTCAAATAACCAAATAAACTATTTGTCATTTAAGAACAGACAAAACCCTTGGTCGAGTTTACTTTTTTTCCCGAAGATACAAAATTTATAACCGCTTTATAATAATAAGTATTTTACTGTGAACTTATTTCAATTGGTGCGAACATGGTGGGAGCTGACTCTGATGACCGCATGGTCGTATCGCTCACTCCAGTCCATACCGAAGAAACGTTATTCCTATTGCTTTATATTTATTATTATTATCATTGTATTATGTTTTTTCTGGTTGACAAATAATAAATCCCTCTCTCTCTCTCCAATACTTATATACTTCTCCTATATACGATTGCGACAGGGCCGATACACCCAAAAATGAGGTATAAAGAATCACTGTACCGATCGAAAAACAAAGGGGGAGGTATTATATAACTATGTATCCGTTACTATTTCGTGTACACCAGAGTGACTTTGAATAGGAGGGACAATAGATTACGTGCGAACTTCCAGAGACTGTGTTTCTGGTAGACTGTTTCACAGTCTAGTAGGCTAAATAGCTTGCTTTTTATGGGTCAGCTGAAATTTACCCATGAAATGACCACACCAATTTTTTAAACAAGGCAAATAGTTTTGATGTTTTACTGTCCTACACAAACTGATTAATAGCAAAATACATTGGCAAATGAAGCAATCTCCCAAAGCATTATCTGCTGACTAAGTCGCTATAGGTATTATGCTCCTAAAATAGGAACTCGAATTTAATTAAATGCGTTTTAATCAGAAGTTTAACATGTTTAACTGCAATTTTCGAAACATTATTTAGCAGCTAAGACCAATCATCTATTTGCTCGTATAATATTTAATACAATAAATTTAACAATCAAAAGTAAAGTTACATCATTATATTATAAATCACATCATAATAAATTATCTCAGATAGGGAAATTCTCGATCGCCATCACGTTCAGCTAAAATTGTAATTTGTCAGTTAAACTCAACTAATTGATTTTGTTTTGTAATCCTCTATAGAATTTTGTACTCGCTCGACTCTATCTCTTCTTTTGTAAGTTTTTTGAAAAAAATAAAGACTTCTAGAGCAATCAGGGACTGTTCGTTTTTTTGAGAGAAATTTTAGATCGAGAAATGATGATTTGTTTCACGCCAGAAAAATACCGAAATAAATAAAGGCAATTTGTTTTCACATGAGAATTACTGACCAAAGACATTTGCCGTTGGTATCGAAGTCTGTTATTGCATCAAATTTTTACTTCCTTACGTAATCGAAAAAATTCAGATTCAGAGACAAATTGAAGTTATAGTTATAGTTCAATATCCAATTTATAATGACAAATAAGCGATAACCATTTACAAAAAACACATTAGGTTAACTCGTATCATAGTGCCGTGTATAAACTTTTGTTTATTAATCAAATATTTAATTACTGCTTATTAAAAGCGTTTTTTTTACACGGATGTGAATACCTTCCACGTGTCATGTATTTCTGAAGAAACATATTCATTTTATTAGAATATAAATTTCCCCCCATAGTCCACTTTGATACGATCGAATGCAGTACGGTTACCATCGACCGCTAACTGTCTTTAAGGTTCAATGGGTTATATTCAAATGCGTAAAATCTCCGAGGCTCCTCCCGCGATCATTGGCTATTCATGCAATCGCTACGTTTTCTCCAAAGTCAATACATTTGAAACCATGAGCTCGTAAATTTTGATATTATATATTAAAATATTGTGATCAAGCTGTTTTATCTTTTTACACTGTAAAAAAAGGGAAATTTTAACTTACGTCACGTCGTCGCATCTTTAGAATAGGACGGGGTTTAAATATTTATCCCAGGGTGGGTGGGGGAGGATTTCAATATTTCTAGGTAGGAAATCCTTTACCAAATAATCGACCATTCATGTATGCGAATCTTCAGATTATATGCCATTGTCATCAGTTATTGAATAGGAATCATACTATTTGAGTATATATAATAATAACATGGCCATTTCAGATCTGTTCCCTATATATATTCTTGAGTTGTTTCCGATTGAAATTGATAAATATGATGAATATATATATATATATATAACTCTATTACGGTAGTTAAACGGACCTGCCATAATTGCAGTACTAAAGAGGACGTCGTTCCTGTGTCCGTTTCATTGTTTTTAAATACGTGCTTGGAGAGCACGAGAGCCGTTGACAACTACGGAGAAAAAGAGTCAACACAATCCTCTCGATAACAGATATAAAATTTTTGTCCGCTTAATTCGTCCACTTAATTCAGACCACCAAATGTGTTAGCCTATTTCGGCACTAAGCCGGACCCCTCTTATATGTCGCCCTGGATGTCTACATAAATCATGTTGCTTTTATTTTAATACGCATTTTAAAGCGTATGACCTCGCTTTAATTTCCGATGGATTCGAACCATTTAGCAATATTTATCACAAAGAATAGCATTTCGTTTTTCAATGTTCAGTCTTTCGTGCAAGGGAGATGCACTGTGTTTGGTGTTGGAAATAATCTTCCATGTCAAAAAATACTCAAAATGCAACGTGAAAGTAGACAAATCGAAACAAATTGATCTGAACGTGTTATATATTTGAAACTGAGAAATACACAAAGCATATCACAAATGTTCGCCTATTCCAACCCTATGGTGCAACATATGGATTAAACAGATACTATGCTGCGAGTGTCAAGATATCAATACCAAGTCAAAATTATGCCATTCCAATAATATTGATAAACATTGAGCAAAATATATCTCAAATGTCCACCTATCCGGCCACCTAAGTGGGGCATACAAGAATTAAAATGAAAATTCTGAAATCATATTGAGAAACATTACACAAATTATATCTCAAATGTCCACCTATCCGGACACCTAAGTGGGGCATACAAGAATTGAAATGAAAATTCTGAAATCATATTGAAAAACATTACGCAAATTATATCTCAAATGTCCACCTATCTGACCACCTAAGTGGGGCATACAAGAATTGAAATGAAAATTCTGAAATCATATTGAGAAACATTACACAAATTATATCTGAAATGTCCACCTATCTGACCACCTAAGTGGGGCATACAAGAATTGAAATGAAAATTCTGAAATCATATTGAGAAACATTACACAAATTATATCTCAAATGTCCACCTATCCGGCCACCTAAGTGGGGCATACAAGAATTGAAATGAAAATTCTGAAATCATATTGAGAAACATTACACAAATTATATCTCAAATGTCCACCTATCCGGCCACCTAAGTGGGGCATACAATAATTGAAATGAAAATTCTGAAATCATATTGAGAAACATTACACAAATTATATCTCAAATGTCCACCTATCCGGCCACCTAAGTGGGGCATACAAGAATTGAAATGAAAATTCTGAAATCATATTGAGAAACATTTCACAAATTATATCTCAAATATTCACCTATCCGGCCACCTAAGTGGGGCATACAAGAATTGAAAATTCTGATATCATATTGAGAAACTTTACACAAAATATATCTCAAATGTCCACCTATCCGGCCACCTAAGTGGGGCATACAATATTTGAAATGAAAATTCTGAAATCATATTGAGAAACATTACACAAATTATATCTCAAATGTCCACCTATCCGGCCATCCAAGTGGGGCATACAAGAATTGAAATGAAAATTTTGAAATCATATTGAGAAACATTACACAAATTATATCTCAAATGTCCACCTATCCGGCCATCTAAGTGGGGCATACAAGAATTGAAATGAAAATTTTGAAATCATATTGAGAAACATTTCACAAATTATATCTCAAATGTCCACCTATCCGGCCACCTAAGTGGGGCATACAAGAATTGAAATGAAAATTCTGAAATCATATTGAGAAACATTTCACAAATTATATCTCAAATATCCACCTATCCGGCCACCTAAGTGGGGCATACAAGAATTGAAAATTCTGATATCATATTGAGAAACATTACACAAAATATTTTTTAAATGTCCACCTATCCGGCCACCTAAGTGAGGCATACAAGAATTGAAATGAAAATTCTGAAATCATATTGAGAAACATTACACAAATTATATCTCAAATGTCCACCTATCCGGCCACCTAAGTGGGGCATACAAGAATTGAAAATGAAAATTCTGAAATCATATTGAGAAACATTACACAAATTATATCTCAAATGTCCACCTATCCGGCCACCTAAGTGGGGCATACAAGAATTGAAATGAA